GATTTGGTTGTGGCCCCCATACCCCCCATGAGGACTCCTTTGCAAGATCCTGTGACAGGTATACCTTCTGCAGTGTGAGCAAGCCAGCTTCTGTGCAATACACCATTTGTGTTTTCCACTGAGATATGAAATAAAGCACACCAGCAGCGACAGGCAGCAGTGGCAGCACCAGCCTGTCCTGCTCACAGCTCCTTGTCCCTGTGTTCAGACCTCAGCCTGCTGTGCTATTGTGCTCACCTTCACCAACTTTAACTGACTACTCACTTAGCTCCTATCTAAGTCTTTTTGGTTTTAGTGCTACTTTGATCCCAGCTGTGCCATGAGAGCCACTGAAACAGTTTCTGCCTCACTGAGGGCCTGTATCTATTATGAAGCTGTGTATCTATGGCTACTTACACCTGCATATCTCTTTTTTTAAGTTTCCTCCCCGAGCCTTTAACAAAGCCTTCAGAGCACTTAATTGTATGTATTCAGGCAGGGAGCAATATAAAATTAAGCAGGGAAACCAAGTCACACCAAAGAGTCATAAAAAGATTCCTGTAGTCTTCCCTCAAGTCATCACAACAGCAACTTCCTCAGCAGAAGCTGAGAAAACGTTGCTTAAAGGTTGCACTGGGATATCTGTGGAATAGCACATTGTGCCATCCCCCCATGCTTTATGCTGAATCATTATCTTGCCTTTGAGATGGCAGCATCTGTTAGTGAAGTTCAATACAGCAGAGGTATTTTTGCCTCATCTGGACAGATGTCTATCACACACAGGCATGTCTGGAACTGAAAAACTTCTGAAAACATGCCTTGTATTTCTGTAGTCAGGTCCCTGAGGTTTTGTGTCCCTCCCAGGTGTTGTCTCTGGTCTCTAGAGCCTGGGAGTTCTTCATGGTGTCATGAAAAAGTTCTTCTGATGTAGTTCTTCACAGCATTTAATGCAGCTCATTTTTCCACATTGATTTTTAGACAGGTATTTATTACCAAAGAGCTTTTTGTTTAAAACAGAAAGATTAAGGGTAGCCACTACTCCAACACAAGCAACTGCAAAAATGTCCTCACCACTTATTTTTTTTTTCTCAAAAGCCCTTTTAATTCTCTGAGGCAACAAGCAGTTCACAATCAGCCATCCATAGTTTCCAGAACATTAATACTGAAGATGTGATCAGTCCCGTTCCCAAGGTACTGAGTGCTGGTCCCTGTCCCTGAGGGCATCACTATTGGCACGGGGAGGCCTGGCTGGAAGGCAGGACAGCCAAGTTTTTTAATACCATATTTTGCTTTCGTGACCCCACCTGCTCCACCTCATCTCCTTGGCAGCAAACCTTAACATCAGTACCCCACAGGGAGGAGACACTGAGTGAAATACCCTTGCTGAAATCTGTGGGTAAAAATCCTCCTATTTCCATCCTAAGTACTGATGTTATTAACAGCAATTCACAATCCTAAAATTTGCAGCATAAACTAGCTCACCAAGCAATGAGAAGAGAGTAGCAATTAACTTAATGAAAGCCCTGGGAAGCAGTCAGATAAGTTGCAAAGATTGCTACCTTCAACCCAGCGCAGTCTTCCGGAAGCAGCCTGGAGAAAAAGCTCCGTATCCATTACCAATTCTGTTCAACACACAAACCCTAGAAATACTGATAAGAATCCATGAATAATTAAGTTTAACCTGATGTTAGCAGAAAGCTAAACTGGACTGGGGATGTTAGACTCTTCATTAGTTCACTGGCAGGAAACAGCCTGGATCAAATTCATTCTGTAAGCAATTCCTTGGAAACTAATAGAGCTATCTCAGCAAACACTTTTCTTCCTCTGAGTCTCAGGGTTAACCAATCTGCTACAATCTTCCAAGGCACAAAATTAAAAAATAGAACAGCTTGGTTCTTTTGTGAGTTGCTCATGCTAATGGTTGTTTGTTGCATCACTGCATGCAAACATTTTCTGCCCACCATGGGGAGGCACAGGCTTCCAGGGTCTGAGAGGCTGGGCTGCTTCATCTAAAACCTCCCTCCCTGTGATTCCACACTGCCCTTTATGTGGATTTTCCTCCTCCTTTCCCCAGTCCTCCTAATACCAAAGATCTCTGCTGCCCTACTCTTCCCTCTCCAGGAACTGTACATTCCTTAGTCCTGCTTCCCTCAAGGGCCCTCTTCTTACTCCCCATGCCAAGGGCTGTGTGCATCTGCTAAACAGATGGCAGCTGTGCCATGTGCCCCTCATTTACAGGGGTTTGATTTCCCTTCCCTTTTATGCCCACTGATGCCCAAAACAACTCTGGACAGACCGAATTAATCAGAATTAATCACAGAGGATGATTAGGAGCTCCAATAGCCAACATTTTGAGCCAAGCTGATCATCAGCCACATTGAAATAGCCTGAAACAAAGTGATAGCAGAGAAAGATGGTTCAGAGAATGACAAGTTGAGAACTGGTTAGGAAAAAAAAAGCTGTATTACATAAAGGCTTCCATGGGTCAGCTGCTGTTCCACATACTGTGCATTTGCCATCACATGCAACGAGAGTGGTGTTTAGGTCAATGCAAGTTATGGCTGTGGATTGCTAAGGCCATGGATAACTATGGACATCTATGGCTCTGGATGGCCAATGGATTTAGGCTGCTTCCCTGATGAAGCAAAGTAACAAGTTCTAAAGGTAGATTTGTCTGTCCATATGGGCACCCTTAAGTAAACATCCTAAAACCTCCGGTTCTCTCATCACAGAAGCTGCTTTTGGTGAAGAATGCTATTTGGTGAAGAAATTTTTCCTAATGTCTAATTTAAACCTCCCCTGGCACAACTTGAGGCCATTTCCAACACTGTCACTTGTTACCTGGGAGAACAGCCCGACCCCCCACCCCACTGTCAGGTAGTTGTAGAGTGATAAGGTCTCCCCTGAGCTTCCTTTTCTCCAGACTAAACACTCCCAGCTCCCTCAGCTGCTCTTCATCAGACTTGTGCTCCAGACCCTTCACCATCTCAGCTGTCCTTCTCTGGATCTTCTCCAGCACCTCAATGTCATTCCCAGAGTGAGGGACCCAAAACTGATCCCAGTACTTGAGGTGTGGCCTCACCAGCACCGAGTACAAGGGGACAGGCACTGCCCTGGTCCTGCTGGCCACACTATTGCTGATACAGGACAGGTGCCACTGGCTTTCTTGGCCACCTGGGCACAGGTGACAACAGTGACTCTCATGTTTATCACCATTTCTAACAAGCCTTGATGTTACTTTGAACAATGAAGGAGTGCAAGGTTTTACAGGCTCACTCCTTCCAAAACAGAGCGCACGAAATGGAGGCTCTCAAAAGCACCACCACTGCAGAGCAAGGATGTACTACCTGAAAACTTGGTGGCTTCACATACCCATCATGAAGAAAGGCTTTCTCCTATATTAGTACAAACATCTCATGCAGAATAAAAAACATCAAACCTATTTATAAGTAATGTATTTTCTCTCATGATTGTTTTTAATCTACTTGCCAGAGCTACTAGGATTTACTCACAGCTTGTTCTTTCCTCCCATCAGTCTTTTGGTGAAGTCACACATGACTTTCTGCTTGTTGCAGGTTGGACTGAACCCAGGAGTTTTTTTCCAATATGCAGTTTTCCAGTCTCTTCCATCAGGGACACCTGAGTGGCTTATGGGCTGACAGTCAGAGCAGGAGCACTCTGTTCTGCCTGTTTTTGTGCCAATGGACTGATTTTTCAGCTTCAGAAGCTTAGACAGCACAAAAGTTCAAGCTCTTTCCCTCCTCCACCTCCAAGGTTCAGTTCAAGCACATGGTGAAAAGGAAGATGAGAACAGGTAGCAGGTTAAGGCTTTTGTTCCCTTCCTGCTATGATGCAGGGGACAGAAGAGATCAGCTCTCTGACTGATCCAGTTGTGAGGGAATGCTCATCTTCAGTTCATATGGAGCTGGAGATTTTTTAATGCCTCCACGGGTTGGACTTGTCTGAAGTGGCTCTGCCGCACTCAGCCATCTGAGAGCTGTCTGTTCCCCACCTCAGAGCAGCTGTGATGTGGCCATGAGGTCAGGAGGGCAGTTTGCCTGCAGATGTGCCAGTCTGCACACAAACTGCTGCATTACCCTGGGTGCAGCTCTAAACTGCAGCCCACGGGAGAGCTGCTGAAGTGGATTAAGCCACTGCTTCCTGGCATACACTTTGGTTTCTAAGAGGCTCCCCAACAGCAGCGTTTCAACAAGCAGGAAGGAGAAGGCAGAGGGTTTGAGAGATTGATGTGAAGGACTGAGACAAGAGGTAATTGGGAGGCACAATCAAGGGACAATCAGGTTGGGAGCCCTCTGAGGGGAGGGCTGGGGCAAGGATGCCAACTTTATTGTGAAATTCAGGTGCTGTTTGTGATGGTAATAAACTCATCTATACAACAAAGAATGATGTAATATCAGACTGTAAGATCAGGTGTTCCCTTCGCCGCACACTGAAGCAGAAGTTGGACTGACCTCAAGGAGAATTTGATAAATGATGTCTGTAGTAGGCAGTATGAGGCTCACACCAGGCACTCCAGCTTTGGGCAGCAGAAATTTTCACTCTTTCCCTTTATACCGCACAAAATCCCCTCCAACTTCAGCATTCACACAAACCAGCATTAACACAAAAGGGTGGCACAGTCCAATAATCTGCACACACTGCAAGTGAAGCTTCTCACTAAACTAAGACGCAGTTAGGTTTGCTTTTCTTCTATCCCTGACAGAAACAAAACAGCACGTGAGAAACGAAATTATTTGTATGTGTTCCTCCCTGTTTAATAAGCAGTCATATAGAGGGGAACCAAAATGCTGGCTCAGGACTCCCAAGCTTACCTTCTGGGCTTTTATTGCTAAAGCAACGGAGGCGTTTCCCTGGCATCAAGCAGATGGCTGAAATAAGCATCTTTCCTATATCAAGCTACGTGTGGAAGCTTAGAATCTATGTAAGGTACAAAAAAGCTACAAGCAGGAGGAATGAGGGGGTGGGGATGAAGGAAGAAGGAGGAGGAAAAGACAGGGGGTGGAGAGTAACACTGGAGAGCAGCAGTGGTCCAGCCCCTCAGAATCTGAAAAGCATCACAGGAGCCTCTGGATAAAGACCAGCCTCAGTAGCAAGGCTAGGAGACAGAGGATTTCTGCTCAGTGATAAAACATGGTGAGTAGGAATTTTGTAATCTCTCTTATTGTTAGCTCTGGTGCAATGGCATTTTCTTTCTGACACTCACAGTCCCTCTGAGGGGACTGTGATTTTGGGATGATTGCTTGTTTTTGAAGCATTGCATTTTACTTCTTTTTCCATACGTTTGACAAGTGTGTGCCTGTATTCATATGAATGCACATCCTATGTCCCTTTAAAGCAATAAATTACAGAGGATAGCCAAAGCTGTCAGCATTAACACTTTGCTGTCTGGTACCAACAGGCTGCTGGCCAGGACAAGAAAAAAATGCCCTGTTTCCTTCTCAGGTACCCAGTGGAAATTTCTGCTCTGCTGCCTTCCCCAGCACTACAGCTCCCTATGCAGGAGTTGATGCTGCTCTTTTTCATGGCATAATTCAAGCAGCTATGTTTTTTTCAGCCTCAGGTAGAGAAGAACACTGAATGAGGGGTGCAGAGGTTTTGTCAGAGAAGGAGCCTCCTTTTGTCATGGTCTCAGCCTCCTTCTGCTATGCTGTACACCCTGTGGGGTGGGGGGGAGCAGTTGGGTGCCCCACATGGGACTGGGGGGAGCTGTGGGTGCCCTACATGGGGCTGGGGGAGCAGTGGGTGCTGCTGTGCCCCCCCCAGGGATCCCTCCTGTCAGCACACAGCAGGACAGGGTGCTGAGAGTAGAAACGTGGTTAATTTTACTATGAAAAATCCTGAGCTCCACAAAACAGTTGTCAGGGCTTAAAGGAAGGTTCAGACTCCCCTATAGCACACTGCTAATAAGATTAAGCATTTAACGAGACATCTTTCTAGTATTCTGCCAGGGCAGTGTGAGATTTTACTTTCTGTGCTCACTGGAACTAAGGCTGAATCAAAAACCCATCAATATGCTTTTTGCTGGTTCTTCATGAGAAAGCCATTGCCTGACCTAAATGCACAAGAAAGGACTTAGGTATCCTGGGTCAGCCAAGAGAGACAAATGGTTAAGGGGAGTGATAAGATCCAGGCACCGAGGATGATGAGAGTACTCCTCCTAAGGGGAGGCATGATCTCAATGCAGGTTTGTGTGTCACACAGCCGCCTTTAAAAATAAACATTCTGCTGGTTCCTGAATGATGACTGTCCCTGATTACATCCTCCGTCCTTTCCACCCTCTTCTTTTCTGCTTTATAATGGAGATGAGATAGTAGCAGAGTAATCAGTTTAAGGGAGAAGATGAGCCCTGCTTTAAAATCCTCTTTGGTTTTTATCAGAAGAACTGTTACATTTGTTTGCTTACTAGAAGCAGCGTTACAATAACTGCAGGGAGGGCATCACCACCCTCTAGCAAGAAAGCATTTTTCTGCTTTGCAATTAAAAATCAAATTAACAGAACAGAATATATGTTCATTATTATTAGCAAGTATTTCCATTATTAACTTTTATCTTCTGAAGTAGAGAGTTAATGATTTTGACTGCAAATAAACAGTCTTATTAAAAAAATCCCCCCACACACTTTACTGGGAGCCCCAGCTGTTCTTTATGCATTGCTGATTAGATCCTAAGCATTAAAAATTAGTATTGTCCACTGACTTTGAAAGTAGCTGTGGCTTTCACCACCTCGATCTTGATTGTTTTTGCATTTTAGGACTTCCAACTGGTGCACAGCAAAAATCCTCCTGATGTTAACTGGGCATAGGAGGGGAGAGGCACTATGAGTGCTGCATTCTTTTTGCCTTTCTCATTACATAGCTTCTCAAGAAATATTTTAAAAAACTTTTCATCTTAAAATGCATCCATTTTAAGCATAATCCATGTCCAAATGCCCAAACCAGATATATGTTTTCAGGAAATTTAATTATGCTACTGTTTCTGAGGGGAAAGCAGGGTAACGTTTTCAAAGGGACCTTCTGATTGTACCTTCTTAAGTCTGATTGATATGAAGCCACTTGTGGAAAAGGGATTTTGGACTCACTCCAAACTTGTATTCTAAAACATAAAAACAATCCAAACAGGGATTTTCCTTCTTTTTCAATTAAAAAACCTAAAAGAGTATTCAAAGTTTATCAACTCTTTCATTTAATAAAAATAACGTGCTTGGAGGGAGGTGAAATTCAGATGCCAAGTGATCAGAATTCTGCTTAAGCAGGAGACAGCAAGGCACCAACTCCACCACCAGCCAATGGTAGGTATGATCTAAATGTAAAGAAAGAGCATTCCTATCTCCCCTGCAAAAACACTGTACTCTGAATTTTACCTATTTCTATCTCCAAGAGAGAGAGTTATATATAAATTGCACATCAAACAAGCAAGTAAGAGAGTCCAAGCCAGACACCTGATAGGATTTTGGAATAAATGAACCTTAATTATATTTTTTGCTACTTAAGCCTAATTACTCTTGAGCCAAACCTGCTGAATCCAGAGAGTTCATCTAAATTTCCTCTCTGAAACACTGCTGTGTCTAGCCCTGCAATCCCACTGAAGCAGATACTTCTACTTTCCCAGTAGGATGCTCTTCCTAGAATTACATGCAAAAGGACTGATATTCTACCTTTTCTTAGGAGATAACCTAAACAAAACTTGCCAGCTAGTAAGATGTAAGATATCAACTTTGACACCAGCTCAAAACCCAAAGCAAGGCTTCCCCCATTCCAGCACAGAAGGAAAGTGGTGAACAGCTGAGCCTGGCAGAAAGCTCCGAGAACCATGGACAGAGGCAAGTGGGACCCCTCTCTCTGACCCACATGACAGAGGCAATATTTGGACAGTTTGAGTCCTGCTTCCACCCATTTTCCTAAGGAATATCAGGTTCCATTGCAATTCTTTTTGGCCCTTGCCTGCTGACCTGGACTTAGGTAGAATTTAGGCCATCTGAATATGGCTCTTATTAACCAGAACAGTTACCTAATTCAGCCTTGTTCAGGTCCTCATAACCCAGAACCTTAAACAATTGCTTTGACTGTCCTAAAACCAAGTTTCCTCAGCCCACAGGAATGTGTTCAACTTCCCATTCTAAAACTTTAATTTACTTTCAGATGAATCACAGATGCAGTAAAACCTTCAGAGTTTGTGAAAAGGCTGTCACACACCCTGCATAGATGGTGTATGTTTGAACATGAAGTATCTCTGCATTTTATGAGCAATATTATCCAAATTTGAAACAAAACCTTATTTCCATTATAATATAAACCACAAATCCAGATCTAATTGCCTGCTCAGACACTTGTGAAATCCTGAAAGAGAGAAGCTGGTATGATCAAGCCAGCTAAAAGTACTGTTTACTGTGGCTGGGAAGTCTCAGTGCTGCTGCACCTAACATTGTTGTAAATGACAACCAAACTGTAGCCCAGTATAAGATTCAAGGATGTCCTCTATTTAAATACATGTATTTTGAACAAGTAATTTCACAGATACTAAAAAAGAGGTCAAGTAACATTAACAAAGAAAACATCCAGAGTCTGTTCAAAACAGGACAATGTAGCCTCAGTAGACTGACTGCTGGTTTCCACAGGTTTCTTTTTTTCACAGTGATTTTAATTGCAAATTATGTTTCCTTTATAAAGGTGGAAATTAGTCCCTCATATATCTTTTATCTCTGTGGAAGAACAGATATACTGCAAGTTAAGTCCAAGAGGAGAATAATTAAAAAGGGACAGACAGGCAATAGCGTAGCTGAGTGCAAGGGTCAAGAAATCCCAGGGAAAATGTACCATTTTTTAAATACCTACAATAATGTTTCATAGAATTTTGATTAGCTTTACATAAGCACTGGAGGGTAACTTTCCCTTACAGCACTTAAATGTGTTTGTGACTTCACTGGTGCAGCTTCTGGGTTTAGAGATATAACTTGTGTCCCTGCAAAGACAGAAAATAGATATTATGGTATAGTCCAGTACAACCAAAAGGGCTAAAATATAGATAGATACATATATCTATATCTAAGATATAGAAAGAAAGCATCATCACATAAATATTTGTGGTGTATTTGGGAAGAAGCTCACTGATAATTCATGTCATATGAGGATGAAGAGGAACTCAGTATGGGAAGTTACAAATGTTTTTAAAAATCTGCAGAGTCTGGTAGTCTGTCCTGAAGAGCCCTCAAAGAACTGACTGAGGGGGGTCTTCCTTTTCTTGGTGTTCATTCTTAATAACATTTTTAATGTGGAAGATTCCCAAAGAGGCGATAGTCTTAAAACAGAAGAAGCAGGATGACACAATGAACTAGATACTAAGTCTGGCATGAATCCTGTGGGAATATTAGGAAGAAGAATATATGGGATCAAATAGAGACATGAAATAATCAGAACACAAAGTTGATGGCTATATATATAGTAGATATTAAAAAGCCCAAACCAAATAAAAACCCCACAAAACCCAAATGACATCTAACGTTTTTTCTCCTCATCAGAGGAAACTGAGAAGGTAGCACAGGCTACCATCAGTGTATCTGACATTATTATACTACATATATTCTCAGTACAGATGTTATTCAGGCCATTTGGGCTTTCATGTTAAAACTGTTCATCAAATTTATAAAAAAAAAGACAGAGGAACAAGCCTTAAAGTTTCTAGACTCAGTTATCAAACTGGTCATCCACTGTGTTTCAGGGAGATACAATTCAGATCAAACATCACTTTATTACTAGGATTATCTAACGACACCCTGAATTCTTAGCTTTACTACATGTCATACTTGACAATAAATAAACCCACCTCTAAAAGCCTTTTTAATGCATCTATAGATAAAGTTCCTAAGTATACAATATCCTACAAAGGTGACCCTTGCTTAATACTCAGAATGGGCAGAAACAGCTGCAGGACTTCAAGGAGTTCTGCATACCATTGTTATAGGGCTGGCATTTGCCATGTCACAGACCTCTAAGGAGCTTCTCAGCAGCATCAGGAGCTTCCCACAGGGACACAGTACCTACTTCTACATTTGCAAAGGACTGAGATGTCAGACACTTCATTTTTTGGGATATTAATAACTGGTCTTGCATCAGCTGCTTCTGATTGTTTTCACGACTCTACCCGAGTTCTGCACACTGAATTTCTTGTCAATCACACCTTGCTTTGCAGGAGTGTAATCCTGTCCCAGTGACCTATTTCTAAATATGCAAAACAAGTTTCCCGCAGCATCAGTGAACTCCAAATACCTGACAGTGTAGTAAAATGTTTACTGGCTTTCATTAAGAATGCTCTGCCACAATCACACACAGCCCCAAGCCCAAAAAAATGTGCCAACATCTCAATCAGACTGACAGACACCCATCTATCACCACCCACCATGTTTTCCAGAGCACATCAAACATTCACACTCTGCCCTTACATTTTCTGACTTTTATCACTGACCTACATTTTGTTGTAAATATTGCTAATCACCTGCTAGTTTGCAGCTTCTGTGAGCAACCGGCTGTCACTGATCTGTCTGCCGGAGAAGAGCTGCGGGTGACAACTCCCAGATACAAAGATCTGCATCTTGTGAGGTGCTGGTCAGAGCGTGGCCATTCCCAGCAAGCCCTGGCAACTGGAAAGCCTCTGGAGGCTACAGATAGCTGTTACAGTTCCAGCTTTAAGTTGTACTTCATGAGTACAAAGGCTTGGCTTGGTGCTGAATTTAAAATCTCCCATTCAGTGTCTCCGATTGTTTAGTTATGTCTAAACAATTGAAAACAAGATAAACCATTAACGGAGAAAGATCCAAGCATGTTTTTTCAAGAACAGGGCTTGGAGTTACTGTTCTGTAACTTCCCATCCAGTAAAAATCTGTTTGTTCCAACAGCTTTTAGGAAGTGCTTGTTTCTTCCCTGACCTACCCTTATGTAACTCCATTGACTTACTCAATATTCAAGTTGATACAAAGCAGAAAAGGATCAGAAGTGTTTATGAAATAACTGCTGGAAAACTGAAAGCAACATGGCTAAAATAATTAATGACTATTAAATAGATTTATGGAAACATAAAACAGGTTCAATACTAAACCATATAGGCAGAGCCTGAAAGTGGCATTGATACAGGTATTTTTAGAAGAGTATTATACAGAGTATTTTTAGAAATAGCTAATCAATGCATAGTGCAGATTCAATGTGCCAATGCCTCTGTGTGCTACACTGTTCTTTGTGAATTGGAGATGACACTTCTGTCATAATTAACAGTGATTTTTCAATAGGGCACTTTTGACTTTCGACAATTAAAGTAGTAGTGCAGAAAATGTTCCATTATGTTCAGGAGGAAGTGAAGCAAACACAGAAATTCAGTTTGAGCTCGTTTCCAGGGTAGTACCAAGGTTTATGGATTTTTTAATCACAGGTCAGGATTATTTTATTTTATTGTAAAATGAGCATCATGTGTCAAATATTTGATCCATTTTGTCAGGAGATTTCCCACACTGAGCTCTGTCCTCCTCAAACACACAGATTTAGGAGCTGCTGCCTCCCTGATGCACACACTTGCATGGTAAAGTTTCTCAGGCATTGTTTTTCACTTATACCTCTTCTACTTTCAGAACAGAACCTCTATCTTGTTAACAGCCATACTGAAGTCATAACCCTCAATCCAACCCCCTTATATCTAACAGACAAACTGTTCTCTGACTCCCAACTACCAGCCCATAATGTGCACTGTCTTCTCCTTGCTGGATCTTCCAGCCAACACACCTTCAGCTTCACTCCCTCTGTATCTCATGCAGTACCAGAACTCAGTGCTGGAAATGTCCAGTGACAGACAAACCCAATTCCATAATGCTTCATATCCCTCCCTTTGTTCTCCAGTTGCTTTCCAAATGTACAAGTGCTAGCCACCAACCTCACAGCAGTTGTGTTCTGCTGCTTTCTTTCCAGAAACAGATGTGAGGAAGCAGCATGGAGCTCAAGAGAGGAAAGACCTTCATAAAATCCAGTGTGCAACATGAGAAAGCACCACCAGTGCATACAGCTCCTACCAACAAAGATGAGAAGGGCAAAGATAAAAAGGCAGCTCTGGAGGGAAACCAAAGTATGGCTGAAGTCCAGTTGGCGTGTTTGGCCACACACAAGAACTACAGATTTTCTACCAGAGCAACAAAGAATGGAGCTGGTGACCACAGCCTGGAAAAATCATCTGGGTCCTCCTACAAACTTGTAAGGAAGAGTAAAACCCACGAGTGTGTTGCTGAGGCAGACAAAGCAGAGCACCGCAGCCCCAGCAGCAGGGCCTGTGAGGAGGGGTTTTCCGGAAAGCCTAAGGGCCGACTTGTCAACAGCATCAGCTTTTCAGGGGTGTCCAGCTCCAGCAGTAAGAAGGAGTGTGTGGTCAGCCCCAGCCAGTCTGCTTGCAGCAGTCAGATGATTGATTACAGGAACTTTGTGCCACAGATGCCTTTTGTACCAGCTGTCGCAAAAACCATTCCCAGGAAGAGGATTTCCCTCAAGAGATCTAAGAAAGGGCTCAGAGATATATTTCACATAAGAAAAAATAAGCCAGACAGCCTCACATTTCTGGTTGAGAAGGACAAGAACTTGTCCTCTCCAGGTTGCAAGAGTGAGTTGTCTGGGCGCCTTGCAAAGTATCTGTTCAAAACCGGAGAAACATTTGCAGCTGATTGTTTGTCACAGGACTGCTCAGACAGTGAACTGCAGTCTGACTCCTCCTACGACTGCTGCACTGCCCTGTGTGAAGATGTTGCCTCCCTGAAGAGCTTTGACTCCCTCACTGGGTGTGGGGAAATCTTTGCTGATGAGAGTTCTGCTCACCTGGAGCTGGAGAACAGCAAAGACCTTCTGCTGAGGCGAAGCAAGCACAAAGACAGCCCTGCCATGGGCTCTTTCCAAGGCGGGGTGGAGCAGCTGGCCTCTCCTGGCCAGAATGAGACTGTGGAATTCGCAAAGTTTTGGGACAACATCAACAAATCAGTAAGGCTACATCAGAGTGCTCTGTTTGAGAAGAAGCTGCTGAAGGTACCTGGTTCTGACACAGAAAAGATTAAAAGTCAGGCTGCCATATCGGTGACAAGCCCCCAAGTGTCACCTGATAAAGAAGGAGACAATTCCAAAGACAGCTCCACAGAAACAGAAACACCGAAAAGTGAAAACCAGGAATCCACATCCACAAGTGATGAAGGCTACTATGATTCATTCTCTCCTGGACAAGATGATGAACTGAAGGAAGCTCAGACCCCTGGTGTCCCAGGTAGATTTCCAAGAGACAGCTACAGTGGAGATGCCCTTTATGAGCTCTTCTATGACCCAAATGAAGTCAAAATAAACCCAGTCCTTGACGATGACTTGTGCGCATCTGAAACAGTTTCAGAGCAAGCCATTGAGATCCCTCTGTCCATTTACAGCTTTCACGTAGGAGCTGAGGAGAACATGGCTTCCCAACCAACTCTAGACATTATCAGCCAGGGGTTTTTCCACAGCTCATGGAAAGGCAAGGAATGTTTGCTAAAGCTCTGTGATACTGAGCTCTCGTTGACTATGGGGATAATAAACTGGCTGCGAAAACACTCAGGACTCGTTTCCTCCCCGGACTCTCTTCAGAGTCCTCAGTCACAGCCAGAAAAGTCCAATGATTCATCAATCCTGCCCAGTCCCAGTCCAGAGCAGGAACTGAGCACAGAAGCTCAGCAGGAAAAACCAAGGAAGGAAGATTCTAATGCATTTCCTGTATGCCTATCTTTGGATGAAAGCAAATACACAACCCAGGCCTCTTCAGCAAACGTCGCTGAAAGAGACTACAGCCTGGGCTCCTGCCCAAACACATCTAATCTGGATTTCCAAGGAAGAGAAGGGAGTCACCATGAGGATTTATCTACAGTGCCTGGGATTGTGGAAACCACCACATCATCAAGTTGTGCACCACAATCACAGGCTAATGGGGACAACCTGCAGACATCTTCAACTGACAATGAGAGGATGGCAATTTCATTGGGATGTGAGACATCTGGAGATAAAAACCCGCTGCCAGAAAAGCTGAGCAGGGAGAGTGGCTCCCAGAGCTCTGAAAATCCTTTGTTAGATGATAATCACGAAGTAGAATCATGTTACTCCTACAAGACTGCTGTGACCTCACTCCTAGATCCCCTTGAGAGGGAGGACAGAAACAAGCCAATGTATCACTCTTTCTCTGTTTCCTGTGACAAACCACAGCAGCCTCTCACCCTCAGACACTTCCAGGGCTACATTAGCCCCACACCAACAGAGAGTAGCACTAACATAGTGCAGCTCTTAGAGCACTGCGTAACACAGGTGGCATCATTAAAAATCAGCTATGAAAACAAGCACCTGGAGGACAAACACATCGGGAATGAAATGAACAATATCATTCATAAGATGTCTCGGTACAAAAACAAGTTATTGTTGCAAAACGAATGCAGCTGCAGTGCTCAAAATCCAGAATACACCAGTATTCCTAGCACAAATCAGTATAACTATGAGACAAGTTTCCAATCCAGTGGTCTGTATTTGAAGCAAAATGGGGAGCAAATTAGCTCTGAAGATCAGAAAAGTAAAGCAAAAATCCTTGATGAGGTCAGCAGAAGAAAGATAAATTTTGAATATGCCCAGCTAGATAATCAAGCCCTCTCCTATTTAAAGGACTTTGGTCTCAGCCCAAGTGACTCTTCCCCTGCAACATCTCTCAGCAGACCAACGTTTTTACCCCTCTTTAACTCTGTCTGCTCAGACATACCTGCCACGTTCTCAGGCAGCACTGCTGTCTCTGTAGCTGACTCGCTGCAGCACAAGGAGGCCAAGCAGTGCAGCCCAGGGCTCTGGGCTTACACAGAGACCCCCTGCCAGGGCCTGGCTGGAGGGAGTGCTCTGTCCCCTCTCCTAGAGGCAGCGGCCCCGGATACAGCAGTGACAGCGAGGAGCCACCAGTAGCACACCCGCGTGGAGAAGGTGAGTGCTCATGGGAAGTGTGACATGAAATGTGAAATAAATAACATCTGTTCCCTTTCCACAGGGAGACACAGCAGCTGTCTGACACATTCAGGGTCTCTCAGCTACACAGGGGGTCACACAAGAAAGCCAGGGAGCTTGCAGTCTTCAAGAAGAGCTGAAGTCAAGGCACGCTCCATGTGCAAGCTTGACAGGCTTCTCAGGAGAAGGATTATGGGGGCTGTGCTGCACCTCAAGTGTTTGAAAATCCTTGAACCACACTTCCACAGCATAGGGAGATCCAGAATCTGTCCTCTGGCACAGGGTAAGAAACAGCAGATGAAGCACTCAGCCATTGTGCTGGTTCAGGTTTGGCTGTCCCATGAGGCTTCGGGTCAGAGCAGGTCCCTCTGTACACACTGTTCTAACTCTGCCTGCTGAGCAATCCTCTGTCCTCCAGCTGCTGAGAGGAACTCTTGTAGAACTATAAAACTTGTGTAAATCCTCTATTATGTGGCCCTGCCAAATCTGACAGATTGGCTGAACTCTGCCCAGCCCTGGGACGCTGAGAAGGCCCCTTTGGAGGTGGTGGAAGAGGAGAGGAGGCTGCAGCAAGGCCAGGATAGAGAATTAAGGAACAGCTCATTATTTGACAGAGGGACACAGGGAACACAACACTCCTCTGGCTCTTGCTGCTCACAGCAGTGTGTCTGCTTCTGGTCATCTCTAAAGGCTTCCAAAGCAGCACAAACTGAAAAGGACAGTGTTTCTCCCTGCATGAGGCAAGAATAACCTTACATTTTCAAGGCTGGGGAAATTCAGCCACCAACCTGGCTATTTACATCATTGTGGAAGTGACCTTGCCCACTAACAAGTCTCCCATTGCAGAGAGCGATATTTTTTTAAGGTCTACATGAAGTTAAGGGCCACAGACTATCAGTCTTCCATGCTCTTTATTAACACATCATTCAGTTATAATCTGTTCATCAGTGAATTAGGTCTTCCTCTACTGAAAGAAGCGATTTTGGTTTTGTTTCCATTTTTGTTGCAAGCAATTCTGCATTTGTGGAGGTTCTGCTGACTAGCAAGTCACCTACTTGTGTCACCAGATTTTTTAGCAGAACTTGTCATTCAAGAACACACCACAATCATTAGAACTACTTGCCTCTTTTAGATACTTCTGAAATTAAAAACTGAGAAACAAACAAGGCAAGGTTTGTGCTCACAGCTACTATATGTAAGAAACCAGGGCTAGGCACAGTTTTTTGGGGTTAGAAGAACAGATCAATGTATGCATCACCCTGATATTTTTAGTTTGTTGTGAATATTAATCCACAGGGTACTGCTAAGAATATCCCTGCCTTCGCAGGCTAGGAATGCAAAGGGATTCTAATTTTGAGGAGTCGCTTTCTGGTAGAAACAGAGAAGGGAGTCAGAGCTGTGTGACTGTCAGGAGTGGTAATAGATTGTATCTTTACACTGAACAAGACATAACAGGAGCAGACATTGCTGGTCTGGGGGCACTTTCTTTGCATTGTATCAAGTGGCAGCTGCTGTGACACCACGTGTCAGCACCGACAATACCTGCCAGGGCAGGGATGTGACACAGGTCACAGGTGCAGCATCACCTCAGGCTCAGAGAGAAGGCAATTCAAGTTTTTTCCAAAAGGGAGCTGTTGGTTTTTGATAGAGGCTTATCAAACAGTAAAAGGAATGGCACTTTAGAATATAGATGGAATTTACACAGTCATAAAGTGACTTTAAGGACCGGGCTCATTTCAAGGAATCATTTTACTGCAGGCTTGATGTTTGTTACAATTTCTTACAGAAAAAAAAATTAGACAATAATTAAAATGTCTTTTTACATGGTTAAAAGAACTGGCTGTGGTGACAGATATAAACACTGCCATGTGACCGAGTGTTCCTACTCAGTATCTCTTGCCTACCCACATTCCCAGATGGCCCACAGGTTTGTCGGAAATTTTAAATCTTTGTGAAGATGACTCAGGATCTTTGCCTTGATCACGGGGGTGGCAGTGTAAGAGAGGCAATATGCAAACATGGTGTCACCCCTGAATCCATGGAGACAGACATCACCGAGAAACACTCCCACGCTGGACATGACTGTGCAAACCCCAAGAGCTTATTCGTAAGGAACGCTTTAAAATGTCTCACCCAGGAGTTGGGAGAGAAGTGACAGATCCAGAGGTGGTTCCTGCTTTGTTCCTCAGAAAAAATGCAGCCCCTGCTCCTGCTACGGACTTGGAGATCTGACCTGAAGGAGGTGGGAAGAAGAAGATCAACTTTCTTGCCATTTCTCATGGGACACAGGAAAAGCTCATCTCAAAAGCCATTAAAATCTCCAGGTTTCACCAGTCCATCTCCACATGTCCCAGGGCCCACAACAACAGATGAGCCCATCCTCTCTCCTCTAGGTAGTGGGCAAGGTTCCCCTGAGCCATGCCCGGTCTCTGGGGCTTCACTACCCTGCTGAACACAGACACAGGGCTGTGATTAAGAGTGGTACAAGAAATGCCAGTCACAGCTGCTTCTGCATTTCTCCCTTCCTTTCAAATATCTTATGTCTGAGCTCACCAGGAATTTGAACCTTGGCAGTAAAGGAACCTCAGGGGCAAATGGCATCCTCACATGGGAATATAGAAGGCTTATGTAGAAGGTGAGAATTACCAGTAGAAAGTGCAATGAAAGGTATAATTTTCATTTTTCAGTATCTAAAGGCTAGGACTTAGTGAATGCAGTCCAACTTCTGAATACAGAGAGAATTTCTAGATCTGTACATTCATGAATTATAGAAAACAAGCTGCAGAAGTCTGTGCTTTTTGACCAGATGTTTTTCAGTTGGAAACTTCATCTTCAACAAGGAAACAGTCCTCAAGTAGTGCATTGGGATATTTCTCCCGACTGTCTGGAACTAACCAAACAGACAACACTGTGTGTCACAGCAACTGGACACAGGTAGAACAAAACACTCTGCAAAAAACAGCATTTCAGACCACTGAGCTATTTCTCCAACTTAATGGGGTTTGAAGTGCATCTTCCATTAACTGGTAGAATGGCAAAGCAACAAAACCCATGTGTGCCCCCAACAATATGTGCTCACTTCATTGAAATGCTGAACTGCCACATTATGCACCAGTTGAAGACTTTGGACGTGTTTCAGTGATAGCCCTGAAAGGAGTGCATTGCAATAAGCTTGCCCTCGGGTCAGAAAAAAATACATAACTGCCAATCAAAGAGGGATTGCTATAATAGATAGGGCAGCTGTAGATAAAAGGAGACAGTATTGCATGTTGATTGCTGTTATCATGGAACTGAGATTCAGAAGCAGATGAAATACAGCCCAGGCACTGCAAGGTGACAGAATAATGTGTATCCGATCCTCACCAACTAAAGGGCTACCCGCAGTCTAGGCAATTCCTGTAATTCTTTTTATTCCCTGCTTGTTCAATTTCATTACTTCCTGGGTCAACTTCATTCCCTTTCTCTTAAATAAGGTTGCATTTCTTCCAGGCAGATAATTTCTTTGTCTATCAGGGATAGGGAAGGCAAACTGCAATATTTGGATTTGATAAAAAGGAAAAGCAGAGTGGAGCCTCATCTGCATATAGGCAATTGTCTGATAAACTACAGTATTATTCCTTGAAATGGCCAGAGATACCTTAATAGGTGAAAAATAAAGGCAGAATCCCTGTGCACACAGGAGGGAAAGTGCACGGTAACATTCAAAGTCCGGTGTAAGAAATCCTTGTACTTCCATGCTCTCTCCGTGGCACAGCAAAGGGATCATCTCTCAAGTCTCACATGATAAATTTTAAAAACAACAAAGTGCAGAGACAGCCAGCACATTTTCTGCATTGGAAGTGCCTCTGGCTCTGAAACATACACCTGCACAGAGTCAGCTGCCCAGATCATGTTACAGTGAACTCGATATTGAAATCTCATCTGACAGTCCAGCAGCCACATTCACAGAGTCACATCCACACACACACTGCTGGTCAGAGCAATGCACCACCAATACAAATGTACTGTTTGTCACATGTGGTGCCATGCAAGCAAAGAGCAGGGAGGCAGAGGTGACAGGGCACTGCCTCTGCTAATACATCTGAGTGTTAGTCACCATGTGCCCAGATACTTGGGTTAAATGCTAAATTAAACGATTTTCTCCTTCATTAAACACTGTTGCTTCTGGACTTGGCTCTGTCTCACTGCACTGTCTTCATGGTACTTTGTCATCAGTGCTCACTCTCCCCAAAATCAGAATTCTACCAGGAGGAAGAAATGTTCCTGCCAGCTTACTTTCTAGAGAAGGGGTTTTCCCCACAGTTATCAGCACAGATAATCCCTCAAAAGGCAGATGCACTATCATGGGTTTCATTTTAAAACTGAAGAAATTGATTTGCTGCTTTACCCGCTATTGCAGCAGGATGGTTTCCATGGATACAGCCTTATAGGGACTCTATTTTTCCCCTGTTGACAACAGTACAGAAAGCTAAATTCTCATCTTCATTGCACCAGCATAAATTTGAAGCCAGGGGAATGATTACCAGATTTAACCCTGAGAGCAGCAATTGGCTCTGTCTCCTTCAGCCTTGAATTCGAGATTTTCAGGGGGATGGCAATGAAGGGAAAAAAGAAAAGGAAAACAGTTTCTGGGTTTTTTTTCCAGCAGCATGGGCTGAGGGACAGGAAACAAACACAGTGCCTCTGTGTGAGAAATGGGGAGCAGTCAAGGTAGAATGCAAACACATTAACTGCTTGTTCAGAGGCTTAGTGTGTTCCCTGACATTTAACTGTAAAAATACAAATCAAGTTTCGGCTATATAAGTTTGACTATAGAAGGCCTTAGAATTATCTGTGTGGCATTGGGCCTTTTGTTTAAAAGAATCAGTTGTTACCACTCTGAAGAAGACCTTCTTCACTTCAGTTTTGCTGAGATAGTCAGGAAGGCATAAGGGTTGGGAAGAAGGGGGAAGCAGGTCTCTTCATTCAAACAGGAGAGA